TGTATATATGCATATATACACATATACATATATATATATACACACACACATATATAACTGACTGTGCATGGTTGCATTCTACAGGTTAGCATTACATTTCTTTATGAACTGTGAGACATCATGAGCCTTACTGAGATGAAGCACTTTTTGAAGCAGGTATTCCAAGGTAGACTTCTACCACAGAGTTCCTTAGGTCTAGACCACACCTGAATGCTTCATTTATTTGATGCTCTCCTGCCTTCAGCATTCTCTTGTTTAAAGAAATAGTGAAGGTTAACAGTTTTAGTATGCAAAAGCTAAATTAATACAAACTTGGGAGTTTTGTCTCCCACATGAGAATATGTTAAGTTTTACAAATAATCCTTTTCTGTGTATTTTGTATTTATATATAAATGACATGGGAAATACAAGTCTCTTTTCTTTTAGATTAGAACATGTATAAACACTGAGTGGGCAAAGATTCTTCACTAGGTAAGAAAGATTTTTTTCCAACTATCTAAGATCTCTCATAATGAGGGTTTAAGAAGATATAAGAAGCTTCTTTTAGACAAATTACCCTAAACCCACCTTCAGAAAAGTCAATGTATTAGCAACAGTAACAGTTTGATATAACAGATATCCTAATATAACAATCTATTGCTTATACTTAAAGCTTTATATCCATCTTCTAACATTTTGACTTCATTTAGCTGTGCTCTCAGTAAAAAGTACTGAGTAACCTAACCTAACCGTCAAATAATGTTGCATGTCAATTCTTTCCACTATTACAATCCATTACTATTTACATAGTCATTGTGGCAGTATTAAACAGACGAAAATGGAACTATTTTGTTATACTGTGTATAGTGAATGTATTGTACTGTGTCTGTGAAAATGTGCTTTAAATTATATTTTCTTATATTTTGTTGGGGACAAAGTTCATTAAGTTTGGAAGTCACACAAGGTTTGTTTTAGAACTGAGCACCATGAAATGCATTGAAATTTCTTTCCATAAAAGCTGCTTACAAATGTTAATCAAATCACATTTAATAAATTGCCTCTGACCCAAAAGAAAATTGGATGTTATTTCATTATCTCTGATTGCTTTGCACTGTAAAGATGCTATACATTACCAAGGCATACAATAAATTGTTCTGTTTACTTAACAATATTTAAAAGTGGTAAAAGCAGGAAATAAGTAGACATAAGTAGAATGTAGCACAGGTGAACTTTTACTATAATAAACATACTACGCAAACAGGGAATTTATAATTTATAAACACAATAGGATTCTATTAGTTAGGCATCCAATACAGCTCTAACCGACAGAAGAGCTAATTCTTAACTGAAGATAATTTTTCTGAAAACTTGGAAAAACACAGTCTGAAAGGAGTATTTGTAAGAGATTATATATTCACTGTCTGTTCATGATTACTATCTAGCAAAGTGTGTTTTATAAACCTTTCAAAGGCAATAGATTTGCTTACACTAAAACTCTAGTAGTCTATGTGCTTTAGTACCAATTAGAGCAAAAGCAGGCATCAAATATGAATATTCTCACAATTATTATTTGCACTGAATCCCCATAACTAGGACACAGGAAAAATGGTGGTAGCCTATAACGTTCTTATATTTAATTGTTATGAAAAATAATGCAAACTATTCTCTCAGAAAAACATCAATTTGTAGGGGAGAAACACATCTACATGTTACTTAAGAAAAAAATCTGTGACATTGGCCTAGATACAAAAATCCTACTATGAAAGGATATCCAAATGCTACTAAGTGAAAGAGAGTTTTATTCCATTAAAGAGTGTTGGCAATTTCTTCATCTGCAATTCTTTACACAAAAAGTTTTCCTAGAAGACTCTAGTAAGGTTTGACAGAGGTCTGGAAAACATAAGGAGATCAAATGAAATCACACAGTATTTACTTTTTTGCCTTTAATTTGGCTATCATACAACATGAAAAGGTAATAATTTTATCCAAAAGGATCAAATTATTTAAGATTTCTGCGACTCTTAAAAATATAGTGTTTTAGATATATACACACATACAACATATGTAAAGGAGAAATGTGCCAAGTAAAGCAGAAGAGGCCAAAACTTCTGATCCTCTGAATGTAGCTTTGAACATCTACTGAAGGACTTTAGATACACATTAAAATTTTGTTAAGTACAAATGAACAAAAAGGTTACAATTTTATTACACTTTACTAATAGTTCTAAATTCAGTCTTTTTAGTAGTTTTAGTAGTATACCTGACATTTTCAAATTGGGATAATAATAATAAAGGTGAATACTATTGTAAGGCTTTTCTGCAAAACATTTAATCACAAAACAACTACATTTCTGCAACAGATAAAAAAACTTATGTTGGATAAATTATGCAGAATTAACAGGGATAGGAAAGATATACACAAATTTATTGAAAAACTTCATTTTATTAAGGAATGAACTTTAATATGTTAGAACAAGCAAGAGGAAAACTGTCATCGCACCACAAACTGAATTCTGGAGATTTCTAAACAAGTCTGCACATTTCCTGTGTTCATATGAATTGTTAGCCAAGGAATAAATAGTGACAGATACAACATATTTGGGTGTGTTCTAGATTAAGAAATACTTGGTAATCGGTCAAAGCTTTATTCTAATCAGCTGCAATGCTGACCACTATCTCTTTAAGCTTACACCATTCATGAAGCATTCTCTTGTCTTATAGATCTTAATCAACTTCTCCCTATTATGCTGCATAATGATGCCCCAAACTAATCAAAATTTAAAACATTATGATCAAAATGTGTTTGAACATGGTTTTCAAAAGTTTGCTGGTCATAATCAGGAGGAAACTGTTCACAGCACATTGGACACACCTTCCAGTGACTTTCAACATGTTCTTCAAACTTGGTTTGATCATAGTTAGGAGGAAACATCACTTCACAGAGTGGACATTTCTTGATGTGCACAAAACTTGGAATAAAAAGGGAAATAATTGAAAGCAACAGTTAAATTGAGACCAGTATTTAATCTCCTACTGTTATTATCTCTGTCATTACTATTATCTAAGTGACAAGGACACAATCAGTGTTTGCATGCCATTAGACATAAAGGGGTTTTCCACATAATCATCGTACCTATTCGAATAATATTTATCCACTGTGTAGTACAGTGGTACCTCAGGTAATGATCTTAATCCGTTCCTTGACTCTGGTCACAACCCGATTTGGTCGCAACCCGAAGCAAATTTTCCCATAAGGTTCAAT